TCATCACAACCATTTTGGTTACCATGGCAAGAGCCGCAAAACAATGTACACAAGCACTTGCTCAGAGTTTTTGTGTACAACATATTACCATCTCTCCCTGAGGACCACAACCAGGGCCTGCCGGGTTGGAGAGGGATGCTTTGCCACCTTTGCAAGCTGAACGACTTCCAGTATGCCTAAACTCAGCTGTATGCACTTTGCCTCGTACTAGGGTACAGATCTACTGGTGGGCTCGGTGGATGTGCCACAACACGGTCCATTAACCCGCTGTCCTACACCATGCAGGTCCTTACCTCGTTCATCACCCTCGTCATGGTTCCAGCCTTCCTGAATGATACCTAGATTATCGCCACGGAAAGTACGCCCCTTCGCCACGCGCACGGCTCGAGAGATTGGCAGTCATCAACAGCAAACGCGCCGCTAAACCTTGTGGCGCTGTCATCGGATCCGTGGATCCCCAGTTCATCGTGGGAAGCACCATCGTCATCGACGTCAACAGATGCGCCAGTCATAAGAGAACAACATCCGGCGACTGCACTCTGTGGGCTCGGTGGCTGTGCCACAACACGGTCCATTAACCCGCTGTCCTACACCATGCAGGTCCTTACCTCGTTCATCACCCTCGTCATGGTTCCAGCCTTCCTGAATGATACCTGGATTATAGCCACGGAAAGTACGCCCCTTCGCCACGCGCACGGCTCGAGAGATTGGCAGTCATCAACAGCAAACGCGCCGCTAAACCTTGTGGCGCTGTCATCGAATCCGTGGATCCCCAGTTCATCGTGGGAAGCACCATCGTCATCGACGTCAACAGATGCGCCAGTCATAAAAGAACAACATCCGGCGACTGCACTCTGTGGGCTCGGTGGCTGTGCCACAACACGGTCCATTAACCCGCTGTCCTACACCATGCAGGTTGGTCTGTCATACGTTAGCTCGTCTAAGAAATCGAGCAACTATCTCTTAGTACAGCTGCCGAGCCTGCAGTGTTGCATTGCCGTTGCTAGAGAATGTGCTCAAGTCATCCGCCGCTTACTGATGTTGTCTGGAGATGTAGAGACTAATCCGGGTCCTGTTTCCTCAAGTGAAATCCTAAGCGAATTGCAGAAGCTGTTTGCAGGTCAAACTAAACTCATCGAGGAGGTAAAGGGCCCAAAAAGTCAGCTGCAGATAACCGATAGGACCATATCGGACCTAAGCATGCGGATGACTGACCTGGAGGGTCATTACCAAGGCCTTTCCACGCTACGTGCTGAGGTGGAGGCCACGGTGACCAGGGCCGCCCACGCGGCTCGTCAGGTCTCTGACCTTGAGGCCCGTGTGGACGACACTGAAAATCGATCCCGACGAAAGAATCTAATATTTTATGGTGTGCCCGATCCCTCACCTACAGAGACTTTTGCCCAGTCCGAACAAAGAATCATCAGCCATTGCTCTGAACTTTTTGATGTAACATTAGACTCGAAAGAAATAGAACGTGCCCACCGCCTCGGGCGTCATTCGGTCGAGCGTCCACGACCAATAATAGTGAACTTCTCCTTTTTCACAACTAAAGAAGCCATCCTTTCGAATGGCCGTAAATTAAAAGGTACTAACTTCAGCATGGGCGAAGATTTTTCCCGCTCAGTTCGCAACGCACGGAAGCACCTCCTTGCCTTTGCTAGAAGCAAATCTGCTCCCTTTTCTTTGCGCTACAAAACACTGCTCATTGGCGCAAAACGTTACGTTTTCGATGAATCATGCCAATCAGTCAAAGAAATCTCATAGCAATCGCACCGTCAACAGAAAATTACAACACGCCCCCAACGTGCCCCTCGAACTAATCTTTCTTTTTCGGTGATCTTTACTAACATACGCAGCTTTCTTCCGAAGCGCGAACTCGTATCTGGCGTTGTATTATCTTCTGAATGCAATGTACTTGTGCTCACTGAAACTTGGCTAACCAGTGATGTTACTGACTCCGAAGTTTTAGCGTACCTGCCAAATTTCCGTCTCTTTCGTAATGATCGCAAAGGTACTCGCGGGGGAGGTGTTCTCGTTGCCGTAAACCATCAAATACCATGCACTACTATTAACACTTCATCCGATCTGGAACTACTCTGGCTCGTCTGTCATGCCGCTCCTGAAACAGTGCTGTTGGGTGTCTGTTACAGGCCGCCGCATAATAGTCCCGATTTTCCGGGGCAGCTTAACGATATGCTGTGCCACCTCAATGCAAAACATCCCAATGCCCACATACTTCTTTTTGGCGATTTTAATTACCCTTATGTCGATTGGGCTAACCTGGCGCCTACAACAACGAGCAACGCAGAAACGAGAGAATTTATCGATGTTTGCCTCAATTTTAACCTGTCCCAAATATTAACTGAGCCAACACGTGTCACGCAAGAGACTGCAAGTCTCTTGGACCTAATATTAACCAACCGTCCTGACAGTATGTCGTCAATTACTTACCTACGGGAAATTAGTGACCATAAGGTAATTCACGCTGATTTTCTGTTTTCGCCGACGTTGCCCCCTTCTCAAAATAAAACAATTCGCCTCTACAACAAAGGAAATTATGAAGCGATAAATAACCATTTAACCAATTTTTTACTGACTTTGAGGCTGCTTATCAAAGTCGATCCACCCATGAAAATTGGGTACTACTCAAGAACAAGTTTAACGAATTAATAAATACATTTATCCCTAAAATCAGTTTTTGTGTCAGCCGACAGAAGCCATGGTTCACTAAAACCCTTAAGAGGCTGGAAAATAAAAGAAAGCGTCTTTTTCGCTCTGCGAAGTCAAAACCACACCCATGCGCGTGGGAAAGGTACTACGAGGCCGAAGAAACATATTTAAACGCGATCATTGAAGCCAAGCGCTCATTTTTCCTTATTGACTTACCAAACATATTAATCAATAACCCAAGAAAGTTCTGGCAGGTCATAAACCCTCAGCAGACTCCCGGTTTAACTCTTGCCGATGAATCGGGGAATGTGCTTAGCGATAGTGAGTGCGCTAACATGTTTAATATCGCGTTCTCATCAGTGTTTACTCAAGAGCCCGACGCACCACTCCCACCCGTAATCGTAACTATTGAATCGGAAATGCACCCCATCTCATTTTCCACTGCCGGTATTTCGTCTATTATTGATAACATCAAGTTGTCATCATCAGCGGGCGTCGACGAAATCACCTCGAAATTTTTGAAGAATTGTAACCATGTATGTTCATCATTTTTCTCACTTATGTTCTCGCAGTCACTTTTCACAGGCGGCATTCCAGATGACTGGAAGGCGGGGAAGGTCGTTCCCGTTTTCAAATCAGGCAACAAGGACTCTCCATTAAATTATCGACCCATTTACTTAACAAGCGTACCCTGCAAAATCATGGAACACGTCATTTATACCCACGTTATGAACTTCCTGGACTCTAACCAATTCTTTCACTCTTCTCAGCACGGGTTTCGCAGGAACTTCTCCTGCGAAACTCAACTAGCTCTCTTTCTCCATGACTTGCATACCTATCTCGACTCTAACTGACAAACTGACGCTATCTTCCTGGACTTTGCAAAAGCCTTCGACAAAGTACCTCATAGACGCTTGCTACTAAAACTTTCTCGGCTAGGATTAGACCCTGACGTCTTGAAATGGATACAGGAAGTTTTGACTAATCGCTCTCAGTCCGTCCTCGTTAATAACCAGTCCTCCAACTGCCTACCAGTATCATCAGGTGTTCCCCAGGGCTCCGTCTTGGGCCCACTGCTATTCCTCATATATATTAACGATTTACCCTTACACGTTACTTGCCAAATCCGTATGTTTGCCGATGACTGCGTTATTTACCAACCAGTTACTAACATTTCTGACCAAATCAATCTACAGGAAAACCTCAACCGCATCCAGGAATGGTGCGACCACTGGCTCATGTCACTTAATCCTAATAAATGCAAACTCATGTCCTTTCATCGCCGAACCAACCCTTTCCTTTTCCCCTATTCAATTGCTAACACTCCCGTCGAACTAGTACAGTCCTATAAATATCTTGGTGTAACCTTAGGTAGCGACCTTTCATGGCGCGCACATGTCACTAACATTATCTCATCAGCAAATAAAAGTTTAGGATTTCTAAAACGCCATCTACGTACCGCTCCTCAAAGCATAAAACTGCTAGCATACAAATCACTCGTAAGGTCAAAGCTGGAATACGCACCCCCCATCTGGAGCCCGCACCAAGCCTATCTCAGTTATGCACTCGAACAGGTTCATAACCGCGCCACCAGATTCATCCACTCATCTTACTCGTACACAGTTAGTATCTCATCCTTAAAAGCTGAATCGGGCCTTTTAGACCTCTCCTCTCGTCGCCAAACTGCTAGCTTATGTCTATTTCACAAGTTTTTCTATTCTCCGCTCCATCACGCGCCCTACATTGTACCCCACGCCCGCATCTCTCTCCGAACAGGTCACCCATTGCAGGTCACCCGTCACCGCACTCGAACTGCCACTTTTTTCAATTCCTTCTTCCCCCGTACTGCAACAGACTGGAACGGCCTTCCCGGCGAAGTTGCTACGATCACCTGCCCATTAAGGTTTGCTGAAGCTGTGTCAACCATCAATCCAACCTAACAACCTATCGTTCAAGTTATTGTTTTTTTTTATATATTCTCCCACCCCTTATGTAATACCCCTCCCGAAGGGGTCTTTAAGGAAATGAAGTGAAGTTCTACACTTTGTGTGGGGATGTTTTACGGGAGGTGATCTTTAATGCGTGGAATAATCAATTCCCTGCATTATAGAGGATTGAAGATAAAGGACACGGACACTTTAGGGTCTTCACTTGGCTTTAAGTTATTTAAAACACAATTGCTGCAAGTTGATTGAATGCCTGACTTAGGGAGTTAGGCCCACTTTCAGACGCCACATGCAGCAAACGCCTGAATAGATGAGGGAAGAAACCTTCAAAAGAAAATACGCAGGAAGGGAGCACGAAACATAAACCGAGCACTCACTCACCTGAGCGAAGGCCTTCCGCAATCTTGGCACAGATGAAGAGAAAAGCGAGGAGTCCTAACATGTCTTTTGAGGACTTACCACCAACCGCAACTTCTAAAAGTATGCACTCGCCTTGGTATGGTAAAGGTGAGCCCTACTGACACCAGTATATATTTATTTAGAAACGTTCTCGGGTGCGGAGCAGTCAGCTCGAAATCAGGTGGACGAGGTGTTGTCTGTCACAGTGATTTGTGACATTTCTAAATGTTTCAGTGCAGCCTGTCAACTAGGAGGTAATTCACAACTCCTGATTATCTCTAGCAGATGTTGCTGTGTGACAGATCGTTTCCCGACCTTTGCATTGTGTCATCCATCTTCTTTTTTTCGTCGTCGGTTGCGTCTAACGCGACAAGATCATTTCAGGTGGGGAGCTGTCCATAAACGCTGTTTATACGCATACTACCCTCCCCCCCCCCCCTCCCCCATTCCCCAAAGATTCGTATCATGTCGATCGAAGCGCACTGGTTTTGGAGACATTGGTTTTCATAACTGCAGTGCACTCTCCTTAACCTTAGCCTCTCCTTAAAAAATCTAAGGATCGCAGCCTCCTTCTGGCGTTCAAACGATGGATGGTGGCCACGGGTGGAATGATAAACCAGGGTCTTTGTAAGGGGAAATTCCCCAACTGATTCGATCTACTAACTTTTTTGACCAAAAATCGTGTAACATTGAATCAAAATTAGCCATCCAAAACTGGCCCAGTTATAAAAATCACGAGTCGAGATCTGAATAATATTCAGTTCGCCACTTACACTCTTGCTTTATTTGTGTTTCTTTTACACGTGATACAGAAGCTGTACGATGCCATTTGGAGTTCTTGCTGAGAAATGTAGGAACGCAGACTGCTGCTCCACTACGGCCAGGTACATTTGAAATTTTGGAGTTCCTCTAGTTTATGCCGCGTAATATTACGGTTACGGTTTTTAATATTATGGTCAAAACATATCATCAGGGGTAAATCATATACATTTAGGGAATATTTATATTTTTACACTGTGCATATATTTCTTAATTGTTAAGCTAGATCATAAAAATAAAACAGGTTTAGACAAAAAGAGAAGAGACTATGATAGTAAATAGAGATCAACTAAATGCCACTGTTGTCCGGGCTGCAAATATTACTTATGTCTGTTTTTATTCTTCACAAACCCTGGAACATAAAAAAGGCGTTGATACAAACTACTGTCTTAAAAGTAGTAAAAATAGCATATGAAGGTTTACTCTATTCAAGCCTCGATCTTGATACTGCCGTATGAACCTCCCCCCCCCCCCCCCCCCCCCCATTGCAAGAAAAGGGATATTTCCACTCAGATTAATACCATTTTTAAAGCCCCCACTCGATATGCATTGCCTAGATAGGAGAATACTACTTTTTGCCATGGTTATACTATTTCAATTCTTGTCTACATCTCTGAGCACCGTTTCAACAATGTTCACGCCTTTATCTTTTTCGCAAGCTACAGAAACATGATTCCCACAACAGTAGGCACCTTTTGCAAACCTTCTTCGTTACCCTCGTAGACTAACTCCCATAGCGTGCAATGTTTTTCTAATGCGCAACCGCAATTAAACAATCAACAATAACACATTTAATACATTTATATTTACCTTCATGCTCGGAATTAGTTTCCTACCAGAACGTGTTCAGTGTGCTCTCAGGCGTGTGTCTCTCTGGCTGGCTATATTCTGCTAAAGGAAACCAGAGATCATTTGCACATAAAAGCATAGTTACACCGCCCTCTTGCGGGTGAGCGCTTTGTTTTGGCTCATGTGCATAGATGTTCTTTTTGTTATATGTGTGCGGGCCTGTTGCCAATATGCATTGATATTTTTTTATTTTGTTCGTTCACGTTAGAAATATAATTGTGGGTTCATTACCTATTTATCTCCTAAAAAATAAATGAATTAACAAACTGATAAACAATCAACGTTAAAAGCCTTTTTTTTTGTAGTGCGATTCCGTCGTAACATGCGCACTATTTTAGCACTATTAGCACTGTGCGAATTCGTACTATTTTAAATGTATGCTTATAGCACGATTAAAATATTTCCGACATTTTTCAATGTTTTGTCACGCTACAAACGAAAATAAAATAATTTTGAATTGATTCATAGATGTTAAATGCACTAGCCCGAAATTGATTCAATATATAAGCTCTTTCAAGATTTTAAAGTTTTCCAAAAAAAACACAAACAGGTTTTAATATGTGATAGGTTCTTCGAGCCCACTGGTTTTTCTCGGGTGGCATATCAAACTTCAAGTCTTACACCATATAAAACTCCCGCCAACAGAGAGTGGGACCTGAGAAAAAACATTATCCCAGACCGAACTTAGGAAAAAAATGAACTTTTTAGCTTAGGTACTCTGCGTGCGGACTCTGCATAGTCCGCACGCCGTTTGTAGTCTGACCTTAGTGGCTAGTCCGTGCGTAAGAATTAACATATACAGCGCACATTGAAAAAAATGTCGGCTGTATAAGGTCACGAAGAAGGCTGTTCTTTACATAAATGAACATTAATATTCTTCGTTATGCATAAAAACCTTCATGTCTGTTCAAAGTGAACGATCTAGAGAAAACAAGTCCTCGAACAGTCTGCGCTTGTATATAGATAATATAGTCCGCATCAGATAAAATTTAACTTTTAAAAAAAATTACTGTCCACGGACTCTTACCCGAAAAATACGTTCAAGGAAAAGCTAAAAAAGAAGTTGCTTAATATTTATTTCCTTTGTGTTGGGTAATATTGCATTCTTAGTTTATGAAACATAGGAGGAATAAAAAAACCCTCAAAATAGTTTTTCTTTTCTTTTATTTACAGAATTCCCGCTGTGCCCGAACATCGTAACACAGGAGGGACTTTCTTGAAATCGCATTTTAAGAAAACCGTAGATTTACACAACTATAGAACAAGCATAAAATAAAGTTAGCACACATTATCATAGCAAATTAACAAACACATCTTACACAAATATAGAGAAGAAATATCAAAACCAAAAAAGCATATACATTATCTTAACTCGGGAACATACAAGGCAAACTAAGGTCACGATACAGTAATCAAACATAAAGAAACATTTTATTATTATGTTGATGATATCTGAACGCACATCACTCTAGTCATGTATATCTAATTGTAAAGTATGCGACTGTATGGTTGTTTTGATAATTTTATTTTAATGTTGGTCACAGTAGCCTAACAAGTTTGCTACGTATTTGGGCTTTAGATTTTACATCTTTAATTATTCTGGATGGGTGCGAATAATGAAGTGCCAAAATAATTCCGAACCCGGGCGAAGACATTATAACTGTGATTACAGAAACGGCTTGACACAACAAAAATAACAATTTATTGAAACGTTTGGCCTCCCATGCGGGAGGCATCTTCAGTAATGCAAAGAGCAAACGAAAGTTGCACAAAAAAACTCGGCAATTTACGCTTGAAGTTTGTATACACATCCGGCAGGGGGCCGCGATATTGTTAACCAGCGATGAGTCACTTCCGCGTTTGTCGTTCTGGATGAACCAATATTCCAGCAGCTTTCACGGTCCCTACCTTTTATTCCTCGCCAAGGTCCGTGCCCTGTCAAAGTCAAATTGGTGGCCTGACGCCCATCCGTGTTCAACAAGTTCGGATTTGAAGCGGGTGGCTTTCGTGGAATTGGCGACGTACGTGTTTTTTTAGTCTTGTTTTTCTTTTTTGTCTCCTCTCTCCAATGCAGGAAGCGCCACATTCTTGGCACTGCACCAGGTAGATCACGTCCCTTTCTGTCTCTAAGGGGATCGGGTCTTTTCGCTTCGAGATAACGTTGGCAATTGTTATGTAGGGTTTGTATGCAGTTCGTACCTCCAACGGCCTAGGCGCGCTTCCCAATGCCACCGAAACGCCATTAACGTACGGGATGCAGGCCCCGTTACAGGTTCGTTCGGCTTGATCCGAGCGCTGTCGGAGTCAGGGTCGGGGAGAAAGAGAAAAGTTTTGTCGGGACCGGAGAGAAAGTGAAAAGGAGAAGGGAGAGTGTGGAGCGTGCGATGCTCCCTATAGTGTGAAATGCTGACGTCAGCACCTCCTTATTAAAAATATTTTTTACGGGAATTTTATGTCCAGTAAACAATTATTTTACATGATTATGGGACTTTTCTCACTTCCAGTAACGCAGGAATTTGTAACAAATTACCGGATTCACCAGAAAGTACCAAAAGTGAACGAATTTGCCACAATTCACGCAACTTACCGTGTTTTTTTTCTTTTGAACGTCAATGGAAAGCACTTAAGAAGTGGCCTGTGAGCCGTAGGTAGTGTATGTTTACCAGATGCCGGACGATTCGGCAAAAAATTAAAGCGGTTAGTCCATATAGACCTCAAGGCCCCATGTATTTTTTAGCAGGGTTAATAACAGTAAAACAATTTGCACAGCTGTAGACAAAAGCAATTACACCAATTAGGAAATACCGAGCTATTTTTCCATAAAAATATCTTTCAATGTACTGACAATGCCTCTGGGTAAACTCCTAGATGTACGGTAGTTCAACTAATACAACCGAGCGGATGCACTACACAGAAACACACCCACACTGTCAGTAGCACGTAAGGCGAAAACTACAAACGCGCGGAATGAACATCCGCCTCCATTAAAAAACTCGCGGGCACAGTCACGATGCAGTCCCTGATGCCGTCGCGGCGGGTGCGCCAGGCAGACACAGACACACAGTAAATAGCACGTTTATTGAAAACCAAGAACGCGTGTTACGAACATCCGCCGCTGTTGAGAAATCGCGGGCACAGTCACGATGTCATGCCTGATTCCGTCGAAGTGGATGCACCAGTGGGACAGATACACACAATCATTAGCACGCTTAGCGAAAACTAAGAACACACGTTATGAACATCCGACGCCGTTGAAAAATCGCGGGCATAGTCACGATGGAGTTCCTGCTGCCGTCGCAGCGGGTGCACCAGGCGGACACATACACACAGTAAGTAGCACGTTTAGCGAAAAAAAAGAACGCGCGTTACGAACAT